TTCACTCTTGCCATCTCCTGTTTGACCACTTCCAATTTGCCTTGATTCATGGACCTAACATTCCAGGTTCCTATGCAATATTGCTCTTTACAGCATCAGACCTTGCTTCCATCACCAGTCACATCCACAACTGGGTGTTGTTTTTGCTTTGGCTCCATTTCTTCATTCTTTCTGGAGTTATCTCTCCACAGATCTCCAGTAGCATATTGGGCACCTACTGACCTGAGGAATTCATTTTTCAGTGTCCTATCTTTTTGCCTTTTCATACTTTTCACAGGGTTCTCAAGGCAAGAATATCGAAGTGGTTTGCCATTCCCTTCTCCAGTGGACCGCGTTTTGTCAGAACTCTCCACTATGACCCATCCGTCTTGGGTGGCCCTACCCGGCATGGCTCATGGTTTCATTGAGTTAGACAAGGCTGTGGTCCATGTGATCAGATTGGTTAGTTTTCTGTGATTGTGGTTTTCAGTCTGTCTGCCCTCTGAGAAGAAAAAGAGGCTTATGGAAGCTTCCTGATGGGAGAGACTGACTGAGGGGGAAACGTGGTCTTGTTCTGATGGGTGGGGCCTCAGTAAATCTTTAATCCAATTTTCTGTTGCTGGATGGAGCTGTGTTCCCACTCTGCTATTTACCTGGGGCCAAACTATGGTGGAGGTAATGAAGATAATGGTAGGTAGAGATAGTGGATAATAGAGGTAATAAAGATAAACCTCTTTCAAAAGTTCTCATGCATGTACTGCTACACTCAGTGCTCCCAACCCTGCAGCAGGCCACCACAGACCCACGTCTCCACTAGAGAGTCCTGGACACTCACAGGCAAGTCTGGGTCAGTCTCTTGTGGGATCACTGCTCCTTTCTCCTGGGTCATGGTACACACAAATTTCTGTTTGTGCCCTCCAAGAGTCTATTCCCAGTCCTGTGTAAATTCTGGCAGCTCTATGGTGGGGTTAGTGGTGACCTCCTCCAAGAGGGCTTATGCCATACCCAAGTCTGCTGCACCCAGAGTCCCTGTCCCTGTGACAGTCCACTGCTGACCTGTACCTCTACAGCAGATGCTCAAACACAGTTCTGTCTCAGTCTCTGTGGGGTCCCTGGGTCCTGGTGCACACAAGGCTTATTTGAGCCCTCTGAGCATCTCTGGCAGGAATGGGGTTTGATTCTAAATATGAATTAGGCCCTCCTACCATCTTGCTGGGGCTCCTCCTTTGCCCCTGGGCATGGGATGTCTTCTCACAGCCACTCTCCAGTGCTGGGCAGCTGCCTCTTTCTCCAGTGCTGCCTCTTTATTGGACTTCTCTGCAAATGAGATCATCTATGCCAAACCATTTTTTTAAATTCCACATACATGTGTTACTATACGATATTTGTTCTTGTCTTTCTGCCTTACCTCACTCTGTATGACAGTCTCTAGATCCATCCATATCTCTATAAATGGCACAATTTTGTTCCTTTTTTTATGGCTGAGTAGTATTCTGTTGTATATATGTACCACGTCTTTTTTACAGTAAAAAGTGTCTAAAGGGACTTACCATTTCAATTAGTGATAAGCTAGATCTACGGTCAGCTGTTGGAGAGTCCTGGAAGCACCCCAGTGTTCCACTTCTCAAGAGTTTAGTTGAGAAGTTAAACAGTTGGTTTGGCAGGCACTGGAGGCATGAAATTAGGATCCCTGATACTGCTGTAGTGGTGAGACTGTTGGAACTCTTGGAACAGCAATTATTATGCAAATATATAGGAGTATTTTAGCATTTTGCAAACCAAAACAAATATACTGGAGTGAACCACCTGAATGTCAGCTCTCCCTGGAACCCATTCCTATTTATACATGATCCTATCTTTCCTGACATTATTCACCTCATCTAGACTATATTCTTTGGGAAGCCATGTGCTCATGAGTACCTATTCCTTGTACACTCACAATACTTTCTTGGAACATCCTCATTTCATGACAAGTCCTACATGTTCATTGAGCTGGGGGCATTGTTAGGGAATTTCAGACAACAGAATTGAATGACTTCTCTATATTTTCATGAGGCCTAATCTCAGTTTTACTGCACATTTCTGCTCAATCATTTCTTTTGACTCAACCATATCCTTTCTCCCCCAGATGGGAGGGGTCACATCCAGGCTGGAACATAACATTGAATAGAGTTCCATGTTCTATACAATAGGTTCTTGTTATCCATTTTAAATATAGCAGTGTGAACATGACCTTTCCAAACTCCCATTATCCCTTCCCCCTGGCAATCATAAGTTTGTTTTCTAAGTCTGTGAGTCTCTTTCTATTTTGTAAGTAAGTTCATTTGTATCATTTCTTTTTAGGTTCCACACATAAGGGATGTCATAAGGTATTTCTTCTTTGTTAGACTTACTTCACCCAGTATGGAGCTCCCTAGATCCATCCATGTTGCTGCAAATGGCATTATTCCATTCTTTTTAGTGACTGAGTAATATCCCGTTGTATATATGTACCACACCTTCTTTATCCATTCCTCTGTCATGGACATTTAGTTGCTCCCCTGTCTTGGCTATTGTAAACAGTGCTGAAATGAACATTGGGATGCATGTATTTCTTCAGGCCATGATTTTCTTTGGATACATGCCCGGGAGTGGGATTGCAGCATCATATGGTAGCTTTATTTTTAGTTTTTTAAGGAACCTCTGAAA